GATGGTATGCTTGTGCTTATCACCCACGGTGTGAAGGTTCCTGCTGGTCGCTGAGGGAGATAGTAATCCTGTTATCTTACCTATAAGAGGTGATATTGGTGTTGTGGTGTTGGTGAGGGTGGGTACTGGATGTGTTGGAGGTGGAGAGTATCGGTGGTGTTGGAGGTGTTTGGATGTGTTGAGTATTGGTTGTGCTGGAGGTGTTTGGATGTGTTGGGTATTGGTGTTCATACGTTAGGCTCATATGCACCATACACATGCTCGTGAATCACTACTATAGACAAACTTAAGAGCATATGTATGGTGCATATGAGTCTAAAATATGAACACCACCAATGCCCACCATCTCCAACACTACCAATACCCACCACCTGTTTTTGGTGTGTAATGGTAGTGTTGGAAGTGGTGGGTATTGGTTGTGTTACAGGTGGTGGGTACTGATGGTGTTGGAGGTAGTGGGCATCGGAAGTGTAAGGGGTGGTGGGTATTGGTTGTGTTGAAGGTGGTGAGTATTGGTATTGTTGGAGGTGATGGGCATTGATGGTGTTGGAGGTGGTGAATGTTGGTGGTATTGGAGGTGTAATGAGTATTGGTGGTGTTGGAGGGGGTGGGCATTGTAGCAGCTTAGTGGTCGAAAGCACATTATTTTTCTTAAGAGATGTGGCTCATTACCATTACAAAATCTTGTTCGAATCCGAAGGTGTATTTTAGGTTCATATGCACCATACACATGCTCGTGTGTTTGTCTATAGTAGTGACCTGTAGTACTTCAGAGTATTCTTCCAGAAACTCATTTGTAAGACAAATTGTGTATGTGGCGGGTACCATCGGCAGGGCAGGGCAGTCACTCAGTCACTCATCCCTGCGTCCCTCCCACTCACCCGTCCCTCACCCTCCCTCTAAATGCATGGGACGGTCCTCCCTCTAAATGCATGGGACGGTGGGGTAGCTGTGTGGTTAAGGCGTCTAGCTCGTCACGCCGAAGACATTTGGGTTCATAAGCAGTACTGAAATACCTGCTCTAAGTGAAACAAAGCCTCTCTCTCAACTCTCTCTCTCTCTCTCTCTCTCTCTCTCTCTCTCTCTCTCTCTCTCTCTCTCTCTCTCTCTCTCTCATCTCTCTCTCTCTCTCTCTCTACAAAGAACTCTCTCTCTCTCTCTCACTCTCTCTCTCTCATTCATCTAGGAACCAATCTCTTCATAATACTTTCTTGAACATACAAAGAACACATATGTATATTACATGCGACTAAGACTAAGACTAACATAAAGTAATCATCAATGTATGTTACCAAATTGTCAGACAAGGTACGATACCCGCCACCTATTGCACAAAACAACGACTAAGACCAACATTAACTAATCATCAATGTCTGTTAACTATTCATCATACGAGGCAAGATACCCGCCACCCATTGCACAAAACAACGACTAAGACTAACATTAACTAATCATCAATGTCTGTTACCTATTCATCATACGAGGCACCATACCCGCCACCCATTGCACAAAACAACGACTAAGACCAACATTAAATAATCATCAATGTATGTTACCTATTCATCATACGAGGCAAGATACCCGCCACCCATTGCACAAAACAACGACTAAGACTAACATTAACTAATCATTAATGTCTGTTACCTATTCATCATACGAGGCACCATACCCGCCACCCATTGCACAAAACAACGACTAAGACTAACATTAAATAATCATCAATGTCTGTTACCTATTCATCATACGAGGCAAGATACCCGCCACCCATTGCACAAAACAACGACTAACACTAGCATTTAAATAATCATCAATGGCTGTTACCTATTCATCATACGAGGCAAGATACCCGCCACCCATTGCCACAAAACAACGACTAACACTAACATTTAAATAATCATCATATAATGTATTACCTCATCATATAATGCACTATACCCTTCGTACCTGCCACAAAACAAAGACTAAAATACAATATGATCACGAATATCTGTAACTTGCTGCGAGCACCGTAAATTATCCTCACTGCACACAACATTGGCTGAGACTAACATTACATGAGGTCATCACTATCTGTTACCTGTTCGACATAAAGTACGTGTGATCATTTCCCTCTTGCACGAAACAACGTATAAGTCTAAACATAAAAAGAAAGCTGCACCACATATTCTTTTTTGTGCCTTGATTGCTGAAAAAATATCTCCTATACTCTCCGAGAAAAGAAACGCATCGGTGTATTTCCACTTTTTGATTCTGCTAACATTTAAGTGAAATAACACGTAATTCTGGGTAAATTGCAGCCAAATAAATTAGTGCTCAAAAGAAAGCATGTAGTGTGTATGATCTTACCTGAAAAGAACAGAAAAACATCCATAAATGAACATCTGTTTATTTTCAATAGAGTATTCAATTCCATAATAAAATTACAATTTTCATTTCATACAAAGTCGTTTTACTGACAATGAAAGACACGTGGGATCATAGTCTGAACTGTAACACAAGTCAGGCAGGCAGTTTTCTTTCTGCAAATGTCATCAAATGTTGAATCAATAGTGAGTGTGACCACCGTTGGATTCAATACACGCCAAAACACGTCGACACATTGATGACGTTAGACGATGAATGACGTTAGGCGTGATCCATTGAAATCCTGTAGGTGAAATTGCTCTAGATGTTGAGTGGTGACAGGTGGGGCTGGTAGTCTTCTCATTTGTCGATCCAGGTAGTCCTAGAAGTATTCTATTGCATTCGTGTTGGAAGAACATGCTGGCCATGGCAAAACAACGATGTTAACGTTATGCAGAAAGCCGTTTGTCAGTCTTGCTGTATGATGCCTTGCGTTATCGTGTTGATATACAATGATACGTGGTTGTTGCTGGATAAATGACAACACAACCGGTCGCAAAATCTCATATCTGAAGTATCTTCGTGCTTTCAGGTTGCCATGAATAATCACAAGTCTCGTTTTGAGATCGCCGCAGCTTATCCCCCACATCATCACGCAACCGGCTTAAAATGGTTGGACTTGCTCAATGCAATTCGGCGCTAAACCAACTCGTCTGTAAACACGAGCCCGGCCGTCATTACTGTAAAGGCAAAACCTAATCTCATCGTAGAACAGCACACGTCGCATCTGCTAACGTGGAACCCTCCTGGCTCATGTCAATCGACGACATCGGTTTTGGTCGACGCGCTCGAATACCATGTTCTCAAAGTCGCCGGTACACTGATACGGTGTCCTAGTGCCGTCGCTGCCATTGAGGTCGCCGTAACAAAACGATTTCTCAGATGAATTGTCAGGATGTGGCGATCATCACCGGGCGCTGTCAAACTCCTAGGCTTGTCTGACGTATTGCCTGTTTGTCCTAGTCGTTGCATCAGTCAGATGACAGTTGCTCGGGTGAAGCCGAAGGTTCTGGCAATGACGTTGTGGTAAGCTCCTTGTTCGGCCATTCCGACGGCGCTCTCTCTCTCTTTCGATTTGCCTCAAACGTTACATATTCTTTGTGTTCTTTTTACTTCTGTGCTGCTCGTGTGTCTCGTTGGGTGTGTTATTCCGTCAGTATGCACGTGCATTTCGTGTTACATCAGAAAAAGTCGCTTTGGATTTTTATTTCGCTGTTCGTTCACTGAAACGATGTGTGTTACATTGCTCAGTACGAGTGTACTAATTCATTTTTATTTTTGTGAATTTTTATGTAATATTTTCATTCTGAATATTCTGGATAGTGGCATGTGATGTGTTAGGCCTGGCTTTATCTTGCTGGAACAACTCCCTCTGGCGGTCAATCATCAAAACCATGTTAATCCTTAAGATTTCGTCTCTGTACTGAATAGCAGTTATATTGCCCTGATTGCACACAGAGTAAGATTGTTTTACTGTAGGATATGGCTCCCCACATCATGACACTCTCACCACCATATCGGTCAAGCTGGGTGGCACAGTTCTGAGCGAAACGTTCATATCGACGTCGGTAGACATGTACTCTTCCGTTAAGTCACTGAAGCAGAGAGTGTGATTCGTCACTGAACCATACACGTCGCATGTTTTATATATTCCAGAATAGAACGTTTTTGCACAACTGGACCGATTACGCAAATGAAATACCAGGATGTACCTATCATGCGCTACAGTGATAATCCGAGACCTGCCGCTTGGAGGACCAGCTTGCATAGAACTGGTTTGTTGATATCGATCTTATAAACGGCTGAAGGTGAACGTTTGGTGATGTGAAATGTTAGATTGAGACCCCAAGACCCCAGACGTTCAATGGCAATGTTTCGATTTAAAGCTATGACGATATTCTTTCATTTAACTTAAATATGCCAATGATAGTTTCAGAGCAAAAATGCCTTATATAGGCAATGTCCCTGCACAGGTTTCCTCAAAACTGCACGTGCATATTTCGAGTCACTTTTTCTCCATAACACTTTCATGCAAGTTGAGACTTAAGAAGGTAGATGTGCATTAAGTTGCATGCATTTTTGCGTTGTGCTTTCGTTACACACTGACACACACACACACACACACACACACACACACACACAGAGTGTAATGGCGAAATTATAACAATACATAAATTAAAACAATATTTGAAATTCAAAACATCAATATCACCTTTGCGTTTCTGTTTTTGGGAGAGTGTATTTTTAAAATGATGGTCACGTCGGACTGATAGAAATTGAATTGAACTTCTTGCCTGCTAAGCAAAAAAACAGTACATCTCTCTGTAGTATCAGCCTCAGTTGCTGTTTGGCCTAAGCTGATTCCATGGAGAAAGGAAAGTTAACGTAACTGGCAAAAATAGCCTACGTAGTACCAGACTGCCTTTCACGTTTAGTTGAAAGAAATTGAAAGCTTTTGGAGTTGTTCTTGACAATAATCACCAATGTCTGTTACCTGCTTGTCATAAACAGCACCGTAGATGTGTCCGATACGTCACATTCTACTACTGATAACCGCCAACATACCATGGTGCGTGACATCAACCCACAAGCTACACTTATTTCACTGGACAACCCTGCGAAACAAGAAGACTGTAGACTTTAAGGTTTCCTCTACGCTTTGCTTTCATGGCTGCCGTTGTCCCACCCTTGTCCCTGGCGTTAATGTCGACCAGGTTCTGGGACAGGATGTGCTTCACCATCTCCATACGTCCATATATAGAGGCCAGATGAAGGATGTTGCGTCCATAATCATCCACGTGTGACACATTAGCTCCCATTTTCACGAGGAACTCAAAAACGTCTTTGTGTCCGCGTGATGCAGCCTCCATCAAAGGGGTATTTCCGTGTTTATTACTACTGTTAATATCAACACTGCCTTGTGAAACTAGATACTTCACTAATTCCAACTGTCGACCACGGCAGGCAAAGTGCAGGACGTTGTTGCCGACGTCATCACCCTGGGACACATTGCTTCCCGTACACACGAGAAACTCCACAACGTCTCTGTATCCCCTCTGTGCAGCCTGTAACAAGGGCTGCATACTCCAAGCATTGATGTTAATTCTGTATTTTAGGAGTACACAATCCACCATACCCACATGTCCACCCTTGCATGCCCAGTGCAGGGCGTTCTTACAATCATTATCAACTTCTGACATTTTAGCTCCTTTAAAGATAAGAACTTGAAACATTGTGCAATGTCCTTCCTTTGCCGCAACCATGAGTGGTGTCCTTCCGTGCTGCTCGTCTCTGCTGTTGATGTCGACCAAACGCTGGTCCAGGATGTCCATCACTCGGTTCAGGTCCCCCTTCCTGCAGGCCTCGTGAAGTGGGCTGTTGACGAATGTTTCCTGCTTGTCAACTTTATGTTGTGGAGATTCCTCAGGGTCGTTCTGCTTTTTATCTGTGGATGTGATAATTATAGAATGCTGGTAATTTGTTAAATATTTACTGCTATAAATGGTGCTAACAGAATATATACTGTATTACCGCCTGTGCATAATGTGCCAGGAAGCAATTTGGGTGCATTAATCTCTTTTGAATTGAGCCTTGAAGCTGAAAAACGGCAATAGTGCTTTTGTTGTCGAATCAGTAAACGTTTCTGACAAGAAGCCCTTGTGGCACATCAAAACAACACCGCTTCACTTTCGGAATTTGAGCCTATTATTTAAAATACAACTATAAACACATTAATTGGCAATCAGAGGTTCCAATGCAATGTCTATTGTTCTTTCTGATGAATATCCCTCCTATTGTGTTAGAACCGCGAATAATGGATGTCACTGTGGTGTTTAGATACAATCTGTCCACTCTGATGTTCTGTTATTACATGAGATTTAAGATGTCTGAAAGCCGTTTGCATCTGATGAAACATTAGAGTATCGCGGCAATTTATCTATTGTGTTTAACGACGTCAAAGGGCTTACGCCTTTATCAAGTTATCTTGTATATGTGTGTGCTGTATGCACGCACATGAGCATTAATCAAGCTTCACCTGAATTCAAGAACTTATTGAACACTTTAGTAAAAAGTGTGATTATAAAAATGTCTACAAGTGACCGATGGGGTAACTTATTGGTTGTTGCAAGGTATATCTCCATGAGATGATCAATGTAGCTGAAACCTTTGGTGGGGTTGAGTTGGGTATGACTGCAGGTTAGATTTCTTTTCAGTACCTGGGACGATCAATAGTCAACGTTATCAAAAGGGTGTACTTGATACCGTTGTCGTGCCACATTTTAACAACAATCCGCTTGTCAGTCGTCCCATATTCATCGATGACAAAAACTAAACCTCACCGTTTTAGGAGCCCATTTGCAGTAAAACGAATCATTATCATGGCGCGCAAGGGGCCGTATTGTGAACCCCATCCGCAACCTTTGTGACAGTCGTGGATGCAAAGTTGGAGCTAGAGATCCTCCTGTTTACAATCTGCAGGAATTGACGCAGGCACCCCAAGAGAGAATTGACGACGATTCTGATGCTGGGAATTCTATACAAATGAGTGCGGCTTTATGTCGCTTTTAGCAATATTCCAGCAATATCATCACCTTGGGGACACCAGAAATGGGCTTCACACATGGAAACCTGGTTTTCGGCGTTATAAAGGCACACACCACTAGGCTACCACCCCGCCCCTCTACAAGTGATTGTGCCAGTATGAGTGAGATTGGCAGATGTTGTCCGAGTTAGGGTTTGCTACACCAGGTTGATCGTCAGTGGCGGTTCATAAATATACAATTAAAACCACTAGAGGAAAATAGGTTTCAGCAAATGTTTTAAGACGCAGATTTTCAAAGCAACATGTAACATGTGGTGTTTTCGTGTTTGATTAATGTTTATGTGTACATATGTGGCTGATATGTTATCAGAGATAAAACATCAATTTGGCTCATGTGAAACACATTGTCAGAGAACATTTAGTATTACTGACAACGTTTTGAAATACATAACTCAATATTTAGTAGAGCATGCATACTCAATACACCATTCAGATACACAACTAAACTAAGCGGCAAAAGAAAGTATAGGTTGGCAAATGTTGGTTTCCTGAAAAAATATGATTCAAAGAGAACAGTAGGTATTCTGACAGTTATTGCCTAAGCACAGAAAGGGGAAAATAACATAGCCGAAATGCAACACAATTCACGATGCCAGGTTGGCGCGAGAAATTGGTAAAACAGGTTTTAAGCCTGCAGAACGAAATGCACGTGCCTAGGTGGTGTTTAAATGTGATCAACGCACAGCATGGTAACACAGCTGATAAAAGCACAAAAGAGACATGCCGAGATTGACACTTGAGGAAAGAGAGCGAGCCGTCGGTATGGGCGAAATGGGGGGGCAACACCGGTCCAGATTGCCAGAAGGTTCGAGTGTACGCTACTGACGATATTCAGGCTTCTGCAGCGTTACCGGCAGAGAGGAAGTACTGAGGGCAGGCCGAGAACAGGAAGACCACCAGTTACAACCCCACAGGAGGCCCTGATGGAGGAGTGGCAAAGGATTCCACCAAACGTCATCAGACGTCTGACGTCATAGATGAGACGACGAGTTACGGCATGCATTGAGACACGTGGGGGTCATACGCGTTACTGAGACTGTAATTGTTTCTTACATGAACTTGTAGCGAACGTGACAATCATGATTGACTGTTCACATATCGCAGGTAAACAACATTTCCGAACCCACCAATGTTCAACTACTGCTCACAAGTCACGTGTTGTGAGTACCTCGTTCAAAATGTCACAGATTAGACATCTGTAACAATTCATTATGTTATGCTTGAACCCAACATCTTTTGTGTCTCTTTACAGATCATCAAACTGTACCTATACTTTCTTTTGCCGCCTAGTTTAGTTGAAGCAGTTCCAAAATGAGCATAGACCAGGGTTGATTGACAAGATAGATTCAACCTGAAAGACATCACAATGATTTGTCCGCTTAATCCTCTTTCACGTTATACACATTGGCAAAGTGTCCTTCCTTGGTTGGCAGAGGATTTATCGTCGCAATGGAGAGCGAATCACAGATGCACCTGTGGCACGCATAATCGATTTGGCAGGGGGTCGGTCATGGTTTGGGAAGGAAAATTGCTACTGGACGTACTCAACTGCAAGTGGTTGGCGGTAATCTTACCGGTCAGCGTTATCGGAACGATATTCTGGCTCTTGTGGCAGTACCCTTCCTGCAAGCTATGCATGGTCTTTATGGTCGACCGTCTTTACTGCAAGACGACAAAGCTAGGCCTCATAGGGCCAGGATGGTAACGGGATTCCTTAGGCACCAGTGTGTAGAGCGGTTGGAGTGGCCAGCAAGCTCGCCAGACCTCAAACCAATTGAGCATGCCTGGGATGAACTCGGTCGACGTGTGTACACACGTCACTTTGCACCAATGGATCTCCCAGGACTCTGCAGACCTCTAGTAGAGGAATGGAATGCAATTCCGCAAGCTTTCTGTATGAACTTGTTAAGGAGCCTGCAGCTGAGAACGAGGCGCACCTGTATCTTCGACGCGCGAAGAGGGTACACAAGATATTGAATGACCGTATGCTTTATGTTTGTCATTTTCTTTTTGTGGGGTTGGTCTATAAAACTGATGTTTGCCAATGCTGTTTGTACGTTTTGTCTCTATGGCATGATGTGTCACGGTTACACATTATGATAATTTTTTGGTTCTATTAGTTCTGAGAAACTTTTCTTTACATGTGCTATGTATCATTTGACCCTTTCTTACTGACGTTTAGTAACATTCTGGACACCTGAGGGTCTTTAGGAGAATACAGGAGAGGCGAGCACACTCTAAAAGGTCACCAAACGTCCTCTGCTGAGCAATCACCACCAACGAGCACTTTTGGCTTGGTTTCTTCGAAGCTGGAATCTGAGGACGTGCAAAAGAAAACAAATAGTCTGATCAAAATCCGATTCCTTCTTCGCGTAAATGATGAACGTACAAGAGTTTGGATACAGCATTTGCAGAAACACATTCAACCAAATGTTGCCTCATGTGGAAGTTCCGTCATGGTCAGGACTGTAAACTTGACTTTGTGAAAATACAGGACAATACGTGGGAATTTGAATATTGAGGAAGTGCTGTATAATCATCCTCTTGCTACAAGACCTGCATTTTTGAATGACAACGCTCAGTCGCACCGTTCTCGAGCAGTGACAGCCTTCATTCAGAATAACGCAGAGACTCTCCTCCAATGGCCCGCAAAGAATACAGACAGTTCACTATTTGCTACGAGGGAGGAGTGCAAAGACAGGAACAGCCAGGTGTGCAAGAAAGGATTGAGACGGCAAAGCACAGGTAAATGAATCAATGACTTTGTCGGCACTTGTGCGCGTGCTTCACGTACACAAGGCTGTTCCTCTCTTTGCACTCCTCCCTCGTAACAAATAGTGGACTGTATCAAAATTGAAATGATATTTTGTGAATATACTTTTTGTATTTTTCGGACATAAATTCTGCACAAAAATCACAGAGTTGGTCTGATGTTTTGATTATGATCAGTGTTTCGTATAGCATTATATGTTTATCAGTTTTCGAGTTAGAGTGCAATCGGTCGGTCCAATTTTGAGCCAAACGAACTATACCAATCTATTGATAAGCACTTTCTCCTATGTCTAGCTCAGAACCTAATCAAATATCACACTCAGGTAAACAAAACACACCAGCATATACTGTTTTTGCCACAACGCTATATATCAGTTACGAATTTCTCCTGATAATATAGATTTAGATCTACGGCTTACTCTAAGGTTGTTTAAACAGATTGAAGTCAGCAATGTTACGAACATTTTGAGTGGCCAGAGAAATAAGTACTTTATAACCACCATTTCAGATTTATTCAATGGGATGTAAGGACTTGCAACTCCACATTACTGGCGTTTCTTTCAGGTATAAGGAGAACAAGCAGCACTTGAGTTGGCCTCTAGTGTTAGGTGGACTTGTACCCCCTGCAGATAGCGTTGGTCTCCTAAGATAGGTGGACTTGTACCCCCTGCAGTTAGCGTTGGTCTCGGATGTTAGGTGGACTTGTAAACCCCTGCAGTAAGCGTTGGTCTCTGGTGTAAGGTGGACTTGTACCCCCTGCAGTTAGCGTTGGTCTCTGGTGTTAGGTGGACTTGCACCCCCTGCAGTTAGCGTTGATCTCGGATGTTAGGTGGACTTGTACCCCCTGCAGTTAGCGTTGATCTCGGATGTTAGGTGGACTTGTACCCCCTGCAGTTAGCGTTGATCTCGGATGTTAGGTGGACTTGTACCCCCTGCAGTTAGCGTTGGTCTCGGATGTTAGGTGGACTTGTACCCCCTGCAGTTAGCTTTGGTCTCGGATGTTAGGTGGACTTGTACCCCCTGCAGTTAGCGTTGGTCTCTGGTGTTAGGTGGACTTGTACCCCCTGCAG